ATGTTGGAATTTGTGCTCAAAACAACATATAAAATTCAATATTTTTTGTATGATTTCATTTAAAGTATAACACTAAGAATATAAAACATTATTTTTTGGAAATTAAGTAGCAGGATTATTTGGAAAAGATTAAAATGAGACTACCATTCCAATCAAAGATGAGTCCACATTCAAGGAATTTTGGTGACTATAGTCACTGATAGAAATAGTCCTGTTCTAGCCTTCTAGGATAGCTTATTATGTGTCAATTTCAATAGGATAATTACATACTATTTGATGGAAAGGGATAAAGAGTCTCTCCCGTGTGTATACATTATAATAGGCTAAACCTATATGTCAGGGTAAATCCATACACAAGGTCCAGTATTTTTTAAAAAATAAATGAATGCGAGTCAAATGAAACCATCGATTTATACAATTAATCTTAGCAAAACCAAACCACCATAATTTTCCTCAAAAATTATCATTTTTTGCCCCTTCTTTTTTTGATTATTTGTCTTTTATTATGAATGTTAAATCGTTTCATGGTTTAGCAGGATGTGTTTCTATTGTGCTGCGGTAAACTCAGTCAAATTCTTATTGGGTTAAGTTAAAAAATAAAAAAATAAAAAATATTCTTCTTGGGTTCAACCAAAATAACGGTCATTGCACCTGGGAAGTTGGAATATTGATTCTTGGTTTGGGTTCAACTTGGCTGAAAATCAGACAACAATGAGAAGGGAGAAAACAATACTTTAATTTTGTATTTTGTTAAGCCATTTACGAGAAATATTGGCAATTAAACGGTCACGTTAGTTGCTAATATACCACACGATCAAATAACAATCTAGAGAAGAACTTATCATGCAATCCAACAATAGATAATCCATTTACTTGTATAGCCTCGTAAAAGTTGGTGTATAAGATTATAGGAGTAACACAACTTTTACACAGCCTGTGCAAAACCTATTACTATAGCTGCATCTCACTTCAATTAATATGATTGAAAATCTGAAAAAATTTATGAAGGTAACCAAATCATCATGCTGTGCTCTGTTGTTATGGACCGTATGGTACCATTTAAATTTAAAATGTTCAGTTGATTTCAAATGCACCAATATCTTTTTGGATAAGTTGTACATCCCAGTTGAAAATAGGTCAATCTTGGAAAAGTGACCATGTGCACTTCAACGAGTCTTCATGGTGACTCCGAAAAGAGACTTAAAGAGTGAATTGGATTGAGATTCAAGGGTTTTTAATAAATTATTTTTGGATAAAAAAATTCATTAGTATTCAATTAAGATTTTAAAAAATTATTTTAGAGTTCATCCAAATCCGTTTGTATTCAGTCAGGATTTTAAATAAAGAAAAAATAATCTTGTGATATTAAAAAATTCAACAATTTTAATGAATTTTCTATTGGTGGGGATTTCGTCAGACTTTTTAGTGAGAAATATAAATAGGATGTCTCTCTCACAATTTCACTCTAACCCCTAGAATTTCTTGTGATTTCTCTATTGCAGTGTTTTCTTCTTCCTTTGGCGGGTTGACCCGCTTGAAACCGAGTTTCTCCATAGTAGCTTCGTCAAAGCTCAGAAAATAGCAAATTTTTGAGTGATTTTCATCCAAAAACTGTTGGGAACTCAGTTCCCTCAAGGATTTTTAGTGAGAAATATAAATAGGATACATCTCTCGCAATTTTACTCTAACCCCTAGGATTTCTTGTGATTTTTCTATTGCAGTGTTTTCTTCTTCCTTTGGCGGGTTGACCCGCTTGAAATCGAGTTTCTCCATAGTAGCTTCGTCAAAGCTCAAAAAATAGCAAATTTTTGAGTGATTTTCATCCAAAAATTGTTGGGAACTCAGTTCCCTCAAGGATTTTTAGTGAGAAATATAAATAGGATGCCTCTCTCACAATTTCACTCTAACCCCTAGGATATCTTGTGATTTTTCTATTGCAGTGTTTTCTTCTTCCTTTGGCGGGTTGACCCGCTTGAAACCGAGTTTCTCCATAGTAGCTTCATCAAAGCTCAAAAAATAGCAAATTTTTGAGTGATTTTCATCCTAAAACTGTTGGGAACTCGGTTCCCTCAAGCTCGGCTAAGCAGCCTTTGTGCGAAAGTCAATCAACAAGATCCTGGATCTCAGATCTCGGCAATTACTTCGGCCTGAACTTCACCAAGTCGGGCAGCGCAACGGAAAATAAAAAATGCAAACAGGGGAGAGAAGGAGAACACAAGCAGATTTTAACGTGGGAAAACCTTATCCAATAAAGAAGTAAAAACCCACGAGACCTAGTCCAGATCAAACGTCCACTAAGAAAATAATGGATATAAAGAATCAAAATACACCAATGTGGTGGTTAACTCAACCTCTCCAACAATGGTGATAATCAAACTACCTTAGAGATGTTTCACCCAAACTCTCTCTAGAGATCTCTCAAATACAAAGCTTAAAGCTTTGTTCACAAATCACTCAAATAATTTTTCTCTCAAATCTATTCTCTCATTCTAACCTAGCCTCCACCCACAACTAATGAATATATAGAGGAGGTGAAATTTAGGGTTTAAGGTTTAGGATTTTTAGGAAACCCCTCAATGAGCTTGGGCTTAGCATTGAAGGAGGAAGCTCAATAAAAACAACCCAGAAACAACGAACCAACAAGATTTTAATATAATCCATCTCAAAACAGTAGATTTTTGAGAGCTTTTGGATGTTTAAAAAATGATTTTTCAAACTATGGGTCGCAATTTTTCTTGGCACAAAAATGTATGATTTTTGTATTAAAAACAACATAAAAGAAAATAACAGCGAACTAAAATCGTCAAACCAATTTTCATTTTACATCAATGAAACCCTATACTTTGTAACAATACATTCATGAACGAAATTCCTTCGCTATAAGAAACGCTTTCAAACAATCTTTGTGTCAATAGATAACTAAAAATTTATTTTTCAAAAGCCTCAAAGCAATTTAAGGTTTCAATGTATTGATTGAAAAAAAATTGAGAAATTTTTTAAACTTTCACGTAATAAAACCCAGAAATTCAGATTTGAAATTTCTTAGAATACTCAATGAAAACATGCATAAGACATATGGTTAGAAAACTCTCATCACGTAGAACAAAAATTCCAAGATTTTCAAGATCGATTGCAAAAAATTCCAAATGAGATTTCATCATGAATTTTAGGTTCTATATGCAGATTTAGAATTATTTTAATAAATAAATAACAATTGGATCTGATAATCATATATGCATTGCTCTGATACCAAATGAAGAAAATAATTTTTAACCCATTGATCAAACCCAAGAGCAGGAACAAGAAAATGATAATGCATGGAGAACTAGTATAACTTTAGATATGTGGAAAGTTGTTGCTTAGTAATTTTGAATGTTTGTGAAAAATTATATTATGTTTTACTGGTTGAGAAAATTATTTTAGGTTTTACTTTTTTTTTTTATTAATATCATTGCATGTCTTTGTTATTTTTTTTATTGACTCTTGTAATTTTGAATGATTGTTAAAAATTTATATGACTCTTTAAAATCTTATAAATCCATATTGTACTTTCAAATCTTATAAATTCTATTAAAATCCTTTAAGATATGATCTTATAAATCTTGATGGTAAAAAAAGTCTTTTAAAAAAGTTTTTTAAAGTCCTAATTGTTCTAAATAGTTTTTTAAAATATATACGATTTTTTATCTCAAAAAAAATCTTTTAAAATCCTAATCTAATATCCACTCATTCGTGATAATAAAAATCGTGACACTTCATTATAATCATAGCATGCGATGGAAACTTGTACGTATAAAATACGGTGATGTTATGTTTTCTTCTTTAAGACCACCCACGTAAAGCGAGAAAAGTATCTTTCTACTTCCGCTTTTGATCAGTTAGATGTCATTCAAAACAATCAAATAACCACAGGAAGAATGCATTATTGGGAATTAAGTGTGAGTGATAAAAATCTCACATTAAAACACGATAAATGTAGTGAAATAATTCATAAAAATCAATGTCTTAAGATTTTGGATTGAAATATAATGTCAAACTTCTTGTTATAAGTTTGTTGCTTAAGCTCATTAATATGTGGATGATAATCCCGATTTGGGCTCGCATGACCATTGTACAACTCTGATATCAGAGCCAATGTTTGATTGGTCTCTGTTATCGAGTATTTTGAGATGGTAGTTTGTGTTTGGGTTGATTGGCACATTATTGATTAGTATCCTCGTTAATACTCGAAAAAGCTTCTGCTTGAAAGAGAATTAACAATTATAGGACTCACGAGGGGAAATTGTTGGAAATCAAATATGAGCGATATTGGATATGAATAGGTTAAGCATGGTAAATATAAATAAAAGGACCCATAGATCCAATATCTTAAGATTTTGAGTTGAGATGTGGTGTTGTATAATTGGAATTGCTATTTGTCAAATACAATATTGAAAAAAGCTTAGCTCCACAATCTCAATAAATTATTACTATAAAACAAGTTAACACCTAATGTACTTCTACCCCACTCTCTCCTCTGGCTCTATGCCATAGAAGGAAATAATAAAACAAAGAAATAAAGATGCATTAGAAATGTTATTACTGAGAAGCTGTGAATTTTGAAAATAGGAACCCACTCTATTTGGATAAGCTGGCACACTGATACTTGGCCAATGCAGAAGCAGCAGTCTTGTAAATACATGATTCCACCCAAGGATAAACAACGAAACTTCAGAACAAAACATATGTTATCCAAACAAGTAAATATTTATTTTTAAAGACCAATTCTCAACATTCCTCGACATGAAGAGCCCTTTGGATTTAAAAAATGGACAAGGCACATGATCATTTACGTTGTGCTGAAATTCAACTTATTGATGGCAAGTATGGAACTCTCAGGCTCTAATACCATTTTAACACCAACTCTACTAAAAGGTTAAGATATTAGACGAAGGCCAAACAATGGTTCTATATCTATTAAATATAAACTGAATTCGTAGATTATACAATACGAAGCACCTTTTAGTAATATTCCAGGCTTTCTCCCAGCTTAAACCCTTTACATTCATCAATATCCTAAGTGTTGGGTGAGTATCATTCATTTGTACAACCACTTTTTCTGGGAGTGTCCCAATTTACTGTCTTCCCTGATCTCTTTTCAAAGCGTGCAATAATATACTGGAGAGAGGCAGAGCTTAATGTATGTTGTTGCTTAGGTCGTAGTCTCTTTCCTTCTACTGATTCATCCCCGGGGTACAAAATGTAGCAAATCTAATTGCAATATAACATAAAAAAAAAAAGCATCACTAGTGACTCAAGCAGTCAGTCCAATGAACTTAGTATTCATAAATGTAAAGAAACTTCTCTGATGATTGATAGGTAAGATGGAGGTGCCAGCACAATTTGAAACAGAGAAAATAAGCTTTTCTTCATATCCATGTACTACATTTCTCAGTTCAGTAGCGGACATTTAGAACCTTTCAAAATGTGCCTTTAAAAGTTCATAGGAGGATACCGAACTTAGATGCAAGAATATAACAATTACAAGATTCTAATTGTTAAAGAGAAAAAAAAAAAAAAGCTTCCACAGATCATCTCTGCATTCTTCATGGCAGCATATGTTTTGGCATGATCTCCAGTATTGAAAGCTTGCAAATCAAAATCTGCCGGTGAAACTTTAGTGGACCACAACAGCAGGTTTACAGCCAATATGTTTTGTATTCTCTAACACACCCCCTCACGCAAGAGCCCTTTGCGCTTGAAGCGTGAATATTGCACAGGCCCAATTTTTTATTTACCTTTTGTTCTATTATTTTAATTCCACCAGAAAATGGGAGGCGGTGAAGATCGAACTCGTGACCTTGTGGTCACTTAAAGCTCTGATATCATGTAAAGAACCATTTCAACCCAAAACCTTAAGGTGTTGGGTGAGGACCTTTTTAATGGTTTATATTATTCTCTAATAGATTCCCCATCTGCAAAGAAACACTCCACTCAATGAATCAGAAGAACTTGTAACTTACATAGAAATAGCCTTGCAAGGCTCCCAAAAAGAGTAACAAAACGATTAATGAACAAAACATGCCTACCCTAATATGAGAAGTGGGCTTCAAGCCACTAACTATGAATAATCAATGTATATAAATAATACCTCAAGCCAGCTTTCAGCAACTTCCTCCTGACCATCCTTTGTTATAAGCTGTTTGAATAAACCATACTTGTATCTAAGTCCATATCCCCATGCAGGGTAATTCAGCGTTGCCAAGGAGTCCAGAAAGCAAGAAGCAAGCCATTTGATATCTTTATTTGTCCGCCAAAACCAACACATCGCCCCAACAATATATTCCCACCTTGTATGATGTAAGAAACGTCAAGTTTTCACTACCACAAAAAAAGGCACAGAAGGTTATCAAAAAGACACTTTTGCAGAAGCTATATGAAAACATTTGCAATTTAAACCTCCGACTACAAACATAACGACAAACTCTCAATCATTATTAAAACGAATAAAAATGATGATAAAGCCAATCAAATGGAAAAAGGCATAGATCATTAACCCATAACCTTATCCAACTCCAATGACTATTATCACCCTTTCCCTTCCTTGCACAAACCCTTCCTTCCTCTCTTCTCCAAAACGATTCAAATTCAATCCCCAATCCTGCACTCAACTTTTCTCCACATCTTCCTCACCTCTCCCCAAGACAAAAGTCATCGTCATCGGCGGTGGCCTCGCCGGCTTAGCCGCCGCCAACCACCTCAACTCCCACAACATCCCCTTCCTCCTCCTCGAAGCTTCCGACGCCGTGGGTGGCCGCCTCCGTACCGACATTGTGGATGGCTTCCTCCTTGACCGCGGCTTCCAAATCTTCATCACTGCCTACCCAGAAGCCCAAAAGCTCCTCAATTACCAATCCTTGAACCTCCATAAGTTCTATTCTGGAGCTCGAATCTTCTACGATGGCCAATTCCACACCGTCGCCGACCCTCTTCGCCATTTCTGGGACTCCGCGAAATCCCTAACCAACCCAATCGGATCCCTCGTCGACAAATTACTAATCGGATCCACCAGAATTCGGGTCCTCACGAAATCCGACGAAGAAATTCTCAGCGCAGAGGAGGTCCCCACCATCGACCTACTGAAGAAGCTAGGGTTTTCCGATTCCATCATCGGAAGTTTCTTCCGGCCGTTTTTCGGCGGGATCTTCTTCGACCCTGAGCTCGAAACTACGTCGAGGCTGTTCGATTTCATCTTCAAGTGCCTCGCCCTCGGCAACAACACTCTTCCGGCGAACGGCATATCGGCGATTCCCGAACAGCTGGCGGCAAGGTTGCCGTCCGGTTCGATCCTGCTAAACACGAAGGCCGTTTCCGTTGATCTCGATGGCTCCGAATCGCCGCGTGTGAGGTTGCAGAGTGGTGAGGTTTTGAGTAGCGAACTTGGAGTGATCGTCGCGGTTGAGGAACCGGCAGCGGTTCAGCTTTTGGCAGGAAGGAGCGGTCCGGTTCCCAAAAAACCGGTTCGAAGTACGGTTTGTCTGTATTTCACTGCGAACCGGGATCAGATCCCGGTTGGGGACCCGGTCCTGTTTCTGAATGGGTCGGGTAAGGGGATTGTGAATAACATGTTCTTTGCCACAAATGTGGCTCCATCGTATGGCCCACCCGATAAAGCTTTGGTATCCGTATCACTGATTGGGTTGTATGAAAGTGAGTCTGATGATGAGCTAGTGGGTAAGGTGGTCCAAGAGCTTTCAAGTTGGTTTGAAGAGAAAATGGTTAAGGAATGGAAGCATTTGAGGACTTATCGGGTCGGGTTTGCACAGCCCAATCAGTGTCCACCCACGGATCTGAATAAAAACCCGAGAATTGAGTCGGGTTTGTACGTGTGTGGGGATTATTTGACCTCAGCCACATTTGATGGCGCTTTGGTCTCTGGGAGAAGAGCAGCACAATCTCTCTTGAAGGATAGAGCCTCACTACGGCTTAAGAATCTTGTTCTTTTTTAAGACTACAGTCCACGTAAGATAGTTATTTTATGTTGTAGAGAAAAAATAGGTGAGTTTCACCATTATAAGAAAAAAGAAAAAAGTGAAATGTGAAAATCGAAGTGAGAAGACATGAAAGAATATATCTTATATGAAAGAAGAATAATATTTCCCATTTTTTTATTAGCATAATTATTAAATATACATTTCATATTGCATGAAAATGTTTATCTCCTATTACACAAATATTGAAAAATGTGTTAGGATTTTCTAAAAAATAATAATTCATGGGGCTCTTTTCGTTTATCTCCGCAGAAAATTATTCTCCTCTGATACTACATAAGAAAAATAAAGCCCAATTATTTTTTTTATTTTTTTTTGGTAACAGAAAGGGGCATAGCCCCAATACAAACGAACAAGGAAAGACTAAAGGAAAAAACAGGCAAAAATAGCAAAATAGAAACAGCAAACAGAACCAGCAAAAATGCTACAGACTAAGCCTCTTGGTCACCACCATCATCAGCTCCAGGATCCAGAATATCAGCTGCTAAAAGGTTTATAATTCCATTGTGTGGGGATGAGAAAACAGTAAGGCCATGAGGATCATCCATTGCCTGTTTAGCTATCCAATCCGCACATGTGTTACACTTCCTCGGGATCCGATTCAACAAAATAGTCCAATCTTTTCGGAGGAGAACTCGAATCTTAGCTACCAAAGGGAGCTCTCGAGTATCATTACCAACATTGGTAAGAAGGCTTAAAGCTTGTAAAGAGTCAGATTCCAAGATAATATTTTTCCACCCTTGCTTCCAAGCATAACATAGTCCATGGAAAACAACCCAGAGCTCAGCATGCAAAGGGGAGCAGGAACCCAAGAAGACAGAGAAACCACCCATCCAATTTCCACTCCAATCCCTCAACAGGCCCCCACAAGCTGCCTTGTCCCCAACTACAGCTCCATCAACATTTAGCTTAAGGAAGCCTTGGACTGGGGCAGTCCAAAAGGAGGGAGAAGGGGAGGGAGGAGTATTGATAACACCTTTTTTTTTACTAACCTTGCAGTGCCTTAATTCCTCTACTAATGCAGCTAGGATAAGAGAAGGATCCTCAGGTCTCTTATACCCCTCTTCATGCAGTTCTCTGTTCCTCCAAACCCACAAGGAGTTACACCCAGTAAAAAAAGGATCCATCCAATCCTTAGCAAACCGATTGCTAAAATTTAAGTTAAGGGAAAGCCACTCAATCCAAGAGCCAGAGTCGAAAAAGCCTGATGGAAGAGGTTGAAACAGAGGGAGAAGCCAAATTTTGTTTGCCTTGTCACAGTCTCGAAAAGCATGTAAATGATTCTCTACCTTATCAGGGCAGAATGAACAACAGTTAGACAACTCACTCCACTTAGCTGGTCTGTCATTAGTTAGCATTCTACCATGAAGCATTTTTCACATAAGAATTTTAATTCTTTCTTTGCCTTTCCAACTCCAGATTCTATCCCAGCAACTAATGGAAGGAACTATGTTTGAGCTCATCTGGTTACAATACGCAAGTTTGACCAAAGACTGACTAGGATTCCAATTTTTCCAAGCAATTATACCATCTTCTGCATCTTCTTCAGGATGCGGTATTGTGTAACATCCCGAGCGCTGACGAGGGCGGGGAGTGATCGCCGGTGCAAAGAGGCACGAACAAGGAGCGACTTCTGACAGGCTTCCAGCGGGGGGTTACATGCATGAATGAATCGAATCGACACCCGAAATAGAGGGATTCCAAAGGCTGTGCAGGTATAAGACTGCACAGTTTGGGATAGCTTATAAGAATTAATTGGTACTACTTATGCTAACAAGATGCATCTACTTTTCTGTAGCCCGGAACGGAAGAACTCCACAATTAAGCGTGCTTGACTTGGAGCAATCCTGTGATGGGTGACCTCCTGAAAAGTTTTTCTGGGAAGTGTGCGAGTGAGGAAAAAGAACACCGAAAAGTCTCGTGTTAGTATGTGGGGTTAGTCATTGATTCTTGAAGCGGTTGGATGTTACATATTGCAAGAATTTTATTCACCACATTCTGATCAAAATGGTTTAACAAGTACTGCACATTCCATCCCTCCCCATTTAAAAACACTCTATGATTAGTTTTGTATTCTGCAACATCAGCTGTGGGAAGAGTATGTGCAATAGAGAGGATATTAGGGCTAATACCAACCCAATTGTCCTTCCAGAAATCTATCTTCATCCTATTACCAATCTGCCAAATTGTGTTGCTCATCATATCTGGCCAGATCTTACAAAGGCTTTTCCACAGATGAGAATCATACGATTTGCATACAACCTCCTTTAGAAAAAAAATTTCTTCTATATTTAGCTATAAGCACCTGCACCCAAAGATGAGATGGAGCTTGAACAAGATTCCAAACACACTTCTGAAGGAAAGCTTCATTCTGCTTTCTTAGGTTAATGATCCCTAAGCCACCCTAATTTTTTGGAAGTTTAAGCTGCTCCCATCCAATAGCATGGTTCTTTCTTTGAGAATCAGAGTCTCCCCAGATAAAATTCCTTTGCAGCTTTTCAATCTCTTCACATACACCTATAGGCAGGAGGCTATTTTGCATGTGAAACATGGGCATGGCTGATATGACTGATTTAGCCAAAGTAACTCTCCCTGCCATAGATAAGCATTGTTTTTTCCAGCCTTGAAGCCTAGCATTGACTCTGTCCATTATATCCCCAGAGTGCAATTTGTTGGAACACATTTCTTTAGCTATACTTCATGAATTACTTGTCACTTTTTTAACTAGTGGTTAATTCATGGGAAATCATACTCATATGTTGCACAAGATAGATCTCTCATTTCACTCTCCCTTCAAAAAATGTGCCTCTCTTTTTTCTAAAAGTTGGTGAGGCCCACTTTATTTGTCTCTTAACGTGAGAAAACTTCTCTTATACTACATGAGAGAGAAGTAATCCCCTTAATTCATATATATTATGACTTTTTCTATCCTTTCTAGTTATGAATGAAAAGTCTAATATACTTGAAAAGAAAAGAAAAAGCAAAATAATATATTATGTAGTTGAAGGAAACAATTTTATTGCCAAGGCAAAATATTTTAGTTAAAGCCTACCCAATATATATATATATATATATATATATATATAAATATATATATAGTGTTTACATTTCTGCAATTGCTGTATCTGCAGCAATCAAATACTTGTCATATATATACTTGAAAACATTAAATGCGGGGACTCATAACCATACAAAAGATAAAATCATTAAATGTGAGGAATCATAACCATACACTTGTCGTTTTGTATGTAAAGCGGCTGCAGAAATGATTTTACCTATATATATATATATATATATATATATATATATATATATATATATATATGGAAAAAATATTTCTACAGCCATTTTAGATAAGGTTATCTACAGCTACCCTAAAAACTACGTCGTTTTGATTAATAAATGATGTTTCTGTAATTTTAGGTGAATTAATGAAAGGTGTTTCAGTAAAATAGATATGATAAAAAATAAACAAAATTACAGAAACACCCTTCATTAATTCACCTAAAATTACAGAAACATCTTTCACAAATCAAAACGACATAGTTTTTGGAGTAGCTGTAGATAACCTTATCTAAAGTGGCTGTAGAAATGTTTATCCCATATATATATATATATATATATATATCTCCGACAACTTGAGGTAAGTTTATTTCCGGCCACCCTAAAATTACGTTGTTTTGTTTATTTATTTCCTTATATTAATTGATTCACCTTTGAATGGTTATGATTTCCTTTTTCTCTCTCTTCCTTCATTACCATTGATCCATCTTTGTACGGTTATGATTTAGTAGCCGGAGATAAAATTATATCTGGCAGCTTGAGAAATGATAAGTCTTATATATATATATATATATATATATATATATATATATATATATATATATATATATATATATATATATATATATTAGTTAAAATAGCGTACCCAAATCAATGACTACAAACAATTAGATAGACTATAGCGATGTGCTTTGATTGCCTCAATCATATTCCTACTCTTGACTCTCCCACCACTAAGGCTTTTAAATTTCAATTCTGCAATCATATCTACATTTATGAAACATTGTTCTGTCATTCTGATTAGCAGTGCAATATATTGCTTTAAGCTCAAGATACGAAATCCATACACACTTTACTCATTTAGGACAACATTGATAATTTGACATATAGCTACCTGAGATATTGAAATTGAATTATCTCAAAAGTTCTTGTCTGACCTGCAAAGAACATCTAGGTCAACTATTTAAGGTTGGCGATCTTAGTTTAAGTTGGTTATATTTCAATATTCACCGGACTTATTAAAGTTTAAGAGTTTTTGAAATTAACACCTATTTACTTCCTGCTCTAAGTGTTCGTTTAATGTCCTCTATTAAATGCCACTTGCCCAACACAACATTAAAAAATAAAATAAAATTGATGTATGAACAAAATTAAAAATAAACACATAATTATCCTATTAAAATTTTAATAGGGGTTTTTGGAAATAGCTAGGAGATTGCAATCCTTTTTATGCAGATCTCTGGAGAGCTTTGAATGGGATTGAATTGGGCTTGTGAGTAACAAATCAAGTTATAATCACACAACTTACGACATTACAAGGAACTGGAAAAACACACCATCGGGTACTCCACAAGAGAAGTCATTAACAAAACAGAGGAACAAAATGAGTTTTATAAGAGTTATGTTGTAGGAAAAATGATTGTGTTATGTTATAGAGATTCGTTTTGCGTGCCGTAGTTTTTTTTTTTTTTTACTTCAAAAAGTGTAGACCCCACAAAATGTTGTGTCTAGAAAACTTTCTTGTGTCGTGTTAAATGATAAATGTAAACTCCTATATATATTAACATGCCAGAAAGAGCAATATGCCGTGGGAAAGAGAAATGATAAAGCCACAAAGAGATGAATAATAACATCACTCAGGAACGTTATGAAACAAATGTGGCTTTGGAGCATGCTTTGCCCACCAGCATAATAAAAAAATTTCACATATATCCATGGAGAAGTCCCAATCGTCAGAAAAAACATTGGAAACTGATCTCAGTACACTTTCAATACACATTAATGTCTCTGCAGCGCCTAATTCCAAAATTAATAGTGCAGCCCATTATGAAGGGGAGGGAGATGTTGCAAGCCCAATAAATACCAACTCATCCCACTTTATGTATTAAAAATAATAAAATAAATAAATAAAAAATAAAAACCTAGCAAAAAAATAAAATAAAAAATATTTTTTTCTGGCACTGTGTAATTTTTTCCCCAGGCTCCACAACTACTAATCATTGCACCTCGGCAGTTTGAACATTAATTCTTGCTTTGGTTCAACTTGTCTAAAAATTAGAGAACGAATGAAGATTAAGAGAAGGGAGAAAACACTATGATCTAGAATGAAAAACCCACTTGAGAAGCCTTCACCATTAAGAAAAGACTTTAGTCAACAAAAACTACTTCAACTATGTTACTCCTACATCTCAACCAAGATGTTTCTGCAAATCTTATCTCAGCCACTTATAGTAACAATTAGAAAAGCTCGTCGTCTCACCACTTACAAGCAAACTTGGAGGGATATTTCTCAAAACTATAAATATGAATGTGTTAACTAAAGATACACATTTTCTTCTACATGAATAAACCTACTTACACAAAATTTAATTTGAAAGTCAGAATGTCTTGCAGGTACACCCTTCATTTTACTCCAATAAAAACTCATGGGTTAAAAATCACTTATATAGAAAAAGATCACATGGTCAGATAAAAATGATTGCGATCACAATACTTTAATTTTGTTAAGCCATTTACGAGAAATATTTACAATTAAACTGTCACGTCTGTTACTAACATACCACGTGATCAAATAACAAGCTAGATAAGCACTTATCATGCATTCCAACCATTGAAAAAAAAAATATATTGGTGTACAAGATTATTTGTAACACAACTTTTACCACAATCTGCGCAAAACCTTTTAATATTGTTGCATCTCACTTCAATTAATATGATTGAAAATCTGATTTTTTTTCTTTCAAGGTAACCAAATCATCACTTTGTGCTCTATTGGTGCCATTTAAATTTAAATTTTTAGGTTAATTTCAAATGAACCCATATCATTATGGATAAGATGCACATCAAAGTAGAAATAGGTCAATCTTGGAAAAGTCAGCATCTGAACTTCAACGAGTCTTAATGGTATCTCACAGCAAAAAGAGACTTAACCGTGATACTGCATTATGGTCATGGCATGCAGTGGAAAGTTGTACATGTAAAACACGGTGATGTTATGATTTCTTCTTTAAGACCTCCCACATTAAGCGAACAAGGTCCCTTTCTACTTCCGCTTTTTGAACAGATACATGTTATTCAAAACAATAAAATAACCAAAGAACGTACATATAGAGAAGACAAGAGCAATGGACAAAGGATAATAACAAATTGAATTGCTATCCATCAAATACAATACACAAAGAAGATTAGCTGCACAAACTCTAAATTACTTTACAATTCATTAAGCATCGCATATAAACAGTATACTATAAAAAGATACACGAGAATATGAGATTATATTCAACCCAAACTAGTTTTTACATTATCATACAAATTGGGGGCTAGTAAGAAAAACAACATTAACGGGGGGGAACCCAAATTTTTTTTTTTTTTCATTTTTTTTGGAAATGGTGAGGTCCACATCAAGTATATACAAATTAACACCAAATGTGATTCTACCCCCACCCTCTCCTCTCTGTCAGAAAAGAAAATAATAAAACAAAGAAATAAAGAATAGAAGGCTTTCCATTCCAGCCTCGGAAATTGTAATTTACACCAACCTCCACCAAAATTAAGTAGCTCCTGGTACTAAAATAACAGATCCGTAACTGCAATTTTCAAAATCTCGATTGGCAGCCTCATGCAGCTTTAACCTGTCACGCCAGTGCCACAAAAAGCAGAGGAGCTAATACCTTAGTCACTGCTGGTCTTTTTATCTGGTGAAGTACCATGACCAAAAAACTCTTCGATCAGATTGGATGTAGGTAAGAAGTCAACATCTGCAGTCGGACATGTTGAGTACCCAGGAAACCAATCTTTAGCATCGCAGGGCTCCAACAAATAAACATGTTCCATCCCATCACTAAACAAATCAAGTTTGTCGTGCATGCGTGGATTCTGATCACATTTAAATCCCCTAGATTGCAATGCAGAGCTAGCATCTACTAAACCATGAGAACGGTAAGACACATCCATATTGGTATCACACTCAAAGGACATACAGGAGTCATCCTGGACACCAATATAGTCCTCAAGAATCCCTGGAGTGTCATCGACATATTGAATGGGATTACTTGAACTCTCAATCTGTGAGTTCAGCATGCATTTTGATGATCTTCCATCAATCCCATCCTCTGCCCCAATTGTGTTTCCCATATTATATCCAGTTAAACCAAGAATACAACCATCAGTTCCATCATCACTGTTGCTATCATCACCATCATCCCCATCAGAATAATTTTCTTGGTTTTCTACACGAACGTTTTCATCACCAAGAGACTCAATGGCAGAATCATCTTCGGAATTTTCAAAACCATAAATCCCAGCATTTCTTGTATGACATTCATCATCATCACTATCAATATCCAAACACCTGGCTCTGTTCTGAGCAGCCCTCCTCCTAAGCATAAAGACATTAAAGTAGTAGCTGACAATTTCCTTATTGGTTCGAGAATGGAATGTGGCTGTCAGTTCCTTCCAAAAATTTCTACCCAATGATGCAGGATTGTTGTAGACAACCTCATGAAAAACCTCTTCTTCTTCTTCACTCCATTTAAGAGCAATGTCCTCTCCCATGTCACAAAGGCCTAAGTTCACAAAATTTTCCTTACCAAGAGTCTTCCTCATATTTTCTCGCGCTTCCCTAACATGCTGTCGCACACATCTTATGGAGCCCTGATCCCGGCAGTTACATTCTGTCCTGCCTTCTCCACACTTGTTACCCAAAGAAGAAAAAAACCTAGAATCACGCAATGAGAACACAGAAGTTCCCATGAATCTCTCTTCAATGTCATTAACAGTATGAACTGATTCTGAACCAGCGGAGGGACTGCCATTATTACATATGCCTAAACCTGACATTTTATTTGCTCTTCCCCTCCAAATAGGAATGGTGGCTTGATGATTTGGTCCAATGGGAACTGGTTTTCTAGGGGAGCAATCAAAGGCAAAATAGGCATCATCCAAAGGAACACATGTTTTCCGTGGAATATCAAATTCCAAACAATCTGAAGAAGCATATGATAAAGATGTTGCCCCAGAACCAGTATCCTCCTCACTAGAACAGCTGCTGAAGTTGCCACTGGTTTGAACATTCTTGTCAACAGCATTAGGAGCTTCCATGGCAGTGTCCACCCCGAGGGGATCATACCATTGAATATTGTAAAAGCCATTTTCATCATCATCTATGTACAAAATGAAAGTATATTATTTCTTATACATTAACTATCAGGCATATTTCAATCAGACCATAGACAAGCTAAACTAACACTATTTAATAAAGAGCAAAACAATTACAATATATTATTAAAAGAAACATTTACCTGAAATAAAAGTCTTCACAAAGGCTTTATTGGGAGTAACAATATCAGGTAATGAAACCAGTTCATTGTTGCATTCAAAACGCTTTACCTTGTTCAAAGAAAGTTCCTCAAATTCATTAGCTTCAAGACATCTCTTATATCCCATCCTGATTCTGTAACACAATAATTAAGAGCCAATACTGAAAAACAACATTTGACCACATAAATAATGGTATAAGATGCAATTGACCATTTAATCTTAGGGTTGTTGTCCTTCGTGCTGTGTTCATATGATTATACATATATAAATATACACATATGTATGTACATATATTTAGAGAGAGATAGAAAGGTCACGTTTGATCATATAAGATCTGTGAAAAAATGCAACATCAACATTCTACAACAATGCTCAAAGACAATGGACTGTTTCAATTTCGAAAGAAACAAGCTAATATCAATATAGAGGATTAGGATCTCCTTTATAACTGCCTCACAATGCCACACCAGCTATGTAGATATGTTCATATGTAACCTGCTGCTAGAGAAAGCACACATGCTCTATAACCTCGAGCTACATGTACCAAGCTTGATAACATGTACATCCACTTTTAATTTACAGTTGATAAGCCCTAGAAAATTCGAAGTGCTTTGCTCAAAATAAATATTCTTGATGAAAACTACCCGCCGCATTCATAGTATTTAACATCAGTTTTATGAGTCTATAAATTTCTGCACTAATTTTATCTCACGTGTAATTACATTTCCTATATAACGTTTTGATTAGCCTGCAGATGGCATAGCAGCCATATCATATCACAGCCTGTAGAATCATGTGCATAGCACTGCATTGTATAGAGAGATGAGGTTAAGACTCCACCCCAACCCTGGCCCAAAAATATTTTCCTACCTTGTATGATGTAAGAATCGTCAAGTTCTCACTACCCCATTAAAAGCACAGAAAGTTATCAAAAAGATACTTAAACTAAATGAAAACAATTGCTACTTAAACCCCTGACTACAAACATAAAAACAAACTCTCAATTATTATTAAAACAACAAAAATGATGACAAAGCAGTGATAACAAAATCATTCTCACCTTGTCAAATTTTTTTCAAATTCAAACTTCAGAAAACCCGCCAACTCAGTACTAAGATTAGAACAGTTTACGGTCAAACGAAAATCCCAAAGCTTAATTGAAGAGAATTTGACAAAGAATTTCACAATTAAGGAAGTTCCTCGGCGCCAAAGAGCGTATCCCCAACTCAATTTCACTAATTAGAAAAACAAAAAATTAGCAGTTCAAACCCTAACCCTAGATTCTCGACTCACTCCAGAAATTACGAAATTAAAAACCATACGACCGCAAGAATTTCGTAAATGATAGGAAGGAATAAAACCCCTCAAGCAATTTACAGAAAAACTCTCCACAAATTCAAAGATCGAGAAGCCCTAAAAATTCGACCGCTCCGAAACCCTAGATTCGTAAACTCGTTCAGTCTTATGTCAAATTGGGGCCAAATACAAGATGAATAAGTAACAAAACCAGGAAATTTTGCGGAATAAGGAAGGGGATTGGACAATTGGATGGCCTTTGAAGGACCGAATCGAAACCCTAACCCTAGAACACGATAATCATCACGAAAAGGGGACGATTTTGGGATCAAACGGAAGCAAACAACAGAAATTGAACGAAATAGGTACTTGATTCAAGAATTAAGAGCAATAATTAAAAAGAAATCGAGGATCGAAAGGGAGAAGATCGAACGAAGAAGTCGAAGAAGCACGAGGTACGGTTCGTGGTTTTTAAAACGAGATGGTCCGACATAAGAATCGGGTTGGCTCTATTCGACCCAAGGTACAATAACCAAAATTTTTTAAAAATAGAAATTAAATATAATGTTTCTTACCTACACATAAATCAAAATATCCAAATAACATAACTCAAAACAAATTATTTGTTGAGGTAATATCAAATATAAAATCCAATCCCAATCTATTACAACCCATATTATTTTATGGGGACATTTTATGTGGATTAAATTTTGTAATTCAACCCATAAAAATGACGGGTTAAACGGATAGATCCAATAAGTTAAATGGATTAAATAAACATGTTGATTCATTTAATTGGAAATTAATTTACATTTAAGTATAATTTTCCGCCAATTTAAAATAAAGGTATCTTATTTTATAAAAAAAGGAAGGAAAATACTATATGACAAATTCACATTGTTATTTACTTTTAAATGGATGGATGATTCTCTTATGAGTAGACCGATGAATATACTTCCTATGAATTACCTCATATACTTGAGAAATTGTGACGCCCGAGTTTTTTTTTATCACTTTGACTTACTGAAATTTCTTTAAATCTTAACAAATTTTGATTGAGTTCATCAAATTTTCATGACTATACAACATTACTTATAAAAGAAAAAAATAATCATTTGCAACAATCAACAACTTGTATTAGGAGAAATGAATAAAAGAAAGAAATAGGACATTCATACTATCATTTTTTTATACTACTAATTCACTACTATTCTAATTATCATTGGATCAAATTTTCCAGCAAAAAATAGACTAAAGAAAGAGAAAAAGTTCTTGAAAAATTTGATCCAATAATGATTAAAGTAGTAATAGATTGGTAATAGAAAAAAATAGTAATATTAATATCCTACTTCTAAAAGAAAATAGCAATGTCTCGTTAAAATAAATAAGAATAACACTAGTTTTATATATAGGGTTATGGTTATTTTTATTTTGGTAAACGAGTTATGATTATTTTACAATGATGTAAATTACACTCTCAATCATCATAATTCTATTTATATGTAACGATTGTGATTTATTAGATATTTGAGCCGTTAGATTCAATAAAATCAATGATCAAGATTTGGTGTAAGACTTCTTATTCTTATACCGATATAAAAATATCCTACCTAATATATATATATATATATATATATATATATATATATATATATATATATATATACAGGTAAAATCATATCTAAAGTTGTTGTACCAGCAATGATAGGTGTGTGGTTATGATTTCCCACATTTAATATTTTCACATTTTGTATGGTTATAATTCCCTACATTAAATGTTTTAACCAATATATATGGAAAATTTGTCACTGCTGCATGTAAAGAGCCTGCAGAAAAATCGAACCTATATATATAGGGAAAAAAACATTTCTCAAGCAGCTTGAGATAAGTTTATCTCTGACTATCCCAAAACTACGTTGTTTTATTTATTTATTTCTTATATTAATTGATTCACTTTTGAACGGTTATGATTACTTTTTTCTCTCTCTTCCTTTATCACCATTGATCCATCTTTGTACGGTTAATATTACTTTTTTCTCTCTCTTCCTTTATCACCATTGATCCATCTTTGTACGGTTATGATTTACTAGCCGGAGATAAGATTATCTCAAACAGTTTGAGAAACGATAAACCTCGTGTATATATATATATATATATATATATATATATATACACATATATAAGAGGGTCATATTGACAAATCTTTTTTTTTTTTACAAACTTACAAACTACATTATGTCTTACCGGTAAGACTTCACTAAAAAGTGTCTTATCGGTAAGACATAGTGTAGTTTGCAAGAGTTTGTAAAAAAATATTTGTAAATATAACATTCCTTTTATATATATATATATATATATATATAGAGAGAGAGGCAGGATCCTTTGACACCTCATCTAAGAGCCGTTAGATCAAAAAAGATCAATGACTCTGATTTGTAAGCATGTGACACCATTGATCTTTTTTGATCTAACAGCTCTCAGATGAGATGTCAAATTTCAAATTTGACACTGGTGTCAAAGGATCCTACCTCATATATATATATATATATATATATATATATATATATATATGAGGCAGGATATTCTTACACAGGTGTAAGAGTGAGAAGTCTTATACTCAATCTTGACCATTGATCCACTTGTATCGAATGGCTCACATTACTAAAAAATTTGAGCCCTTAGATATAAGTGGGATCACTGGTGTAAAATGATCCTAACCATATATATATATATATATATATATATATATATATATATATATATAAGGGGAAGGATTTGTTCACAATTTTTTGCAAATTACACTATGTACTCTACTCTGGAAGCAGTGGCGGACCCAGAAAATTATATGTCGGGGGGCGAAAATTTATATTACTATTATGAAAAGGTAATGCCAGTTTTGGTTGGATGATCACGCTAGGAGTACAAAAATACCTATTAAGAAGAATCTAATAAAATTATAAAAAAAATTCCAATTTTTTGGTTAGAATGTCAATTTTTTGTTTTCAGTGACAGTGGTCCAATGCACCCTCTATTTCAATGAAGAACTAGCCATAAGTCCTTATATTTTGTTTCTAAAATCAATTTTTTATTGTTTATTTTCATGCCTTCTGGTGCTATAAGTGCACTTTCTTTGATTTATTTAGAATCTTATTTTCTCCCGTAGTTGTTATTTAGCAGAAGACACAGTAAATTAATTAATGTGTTATTTATTTTTAGTATTTGGTCACAAATAATAATTAATAACTATTATTGACCTTTTTTCTTTGCCAACAAAGTCAAAACTTAAATAATCTTTTCCTGAGTTCTAACATGAGAATCTGTACAAATTTTTAATGCTTATAAAAAGAATTATATAATCAATTAATATAAAATCAAATTCTAGACAAATTTGACAGGTATAGTGAATATGCATTACTAACTGAAAAAAGTCAACTTTGCACATTAATTGAGGAGAGTAAAGACCAAGAACAAAACCTACCATATATACTGGCAGGTTGGATCTGATAAATAATAGTTATCTCCAAGGAAGCACCGACACTTCTAAAAACAGGAAGAGTCGGGTCCGACACGCTCCGACACGGCGACACGCTCCGACACGGTGTCGGACACGCGGTTGACTTTTTCCGACACGTTGACCATTCCGACACGCGAATTTGACCGTGTCCGACACGGTCAAATGGCATTTTCGTAATTTTTTTATTTTTTTTTAATTTTTTTTAAAAAAAATTATTTTTTTAAAAAGTTAAAATATATTAATAAAGCTTCCACCTGATCATATCAATTTTATCTTTTTGTCTTTTTTCCCCTTAAGTAGATAAGAGATCATCTCAGCATCATTGTTGTCAATTCCTATCACGCTCTTGTTGTATCTTCTTCTCTCTGATCTCTCTCTAATATGATTTGATCTCTCTATCTGATATTATATCTTTCTCATCCCAGTTCTTATTTTTTTATTAAAGCTTTCATCTTTATAACGTGTTTATGGGTATTATTAATTTAATTTCATTTTTTTGTTAAATTATTAAATATTAAATGAAAAATACACTATATAAATTAAAAATATTATTTAATATTAAAACGTGTCCCAACGTGTCGAAATCCATAATTTTTTAGGATTGACGTGTCGGAGTGTCGTGTCGTGTCGTGTCACGTGTCGCGTGTCGTATCGGTGCTACATAGGTTATCTCTAATTGGATGCAATGAACGAGTGGAACACTTTACTTATTAATACCATAGCTTGTCTTTCACTTTTTAAAAACACTTTCAAAATTTTGCTTTTTTAGACCATATTGCATATCATATAGTAAAACATATTTTCATATTTTAGAGGGGGACGGGGGCCTACCCTAGCCCCCCATGTAGGTCCGCCCTTGTATGGAAGTACAGAGTGTAACCTAGAGTACTTTCAGGAGTACATAGTATAGTTTGTAATCAAAAAAATTGTAAATATAATTCTCCCTTTTATATATGGCAAAAATATTTTTTAAACGGCCAAACAGACGGACTCATATAACATTTTACAGTTTTGCTAATATAACATTTCTCAACATCGAACACAAATAACCAAATGTTGCCCGTTGCATAAAATTCCTAAAGTAATCACTTATTTAATACAAAAAGGCAAGTCGATAAATTAGGTTTTTTTTAGCAAAACTGGCTAAAAAGGAAACACTGAGCTCTACTGTGCCATAAAATCTGGTAAAATAAAACTAGATTAATGAGAAAAGAGTATCAGAAATGTAATTATAAGTGTAAAAATGACCAATAGGGCATTATCTCCAAACTGTGCTTTCACTTTATGCCACTGCAGGCATGTACTTGAGCCATAAAAATAACCAATTTCCCCGAGCTTATTAGCATCCACAATATTCTTGCCATCAAATAAAAAAGCAGGCTTCTGCATGCTGTTAAAAACTTTTTGGTAATTAAGCTTCCTGAAACTCATCCCACTCAGTCAAAAAGCAACACTATGTGAATCCTTTGCTGCCTCATAAGCATCCCAAACCATAGATACTTGCTTTATGGAAGTAGGGCTTGGTGGTTGAAGATGAGCTGGATGGTCCTTATCAAGCTTTCTCATTGAATGATCCTTCATGATCTGATCCTCAGTAACCTAAGGATCATATATGCTCAACATTCAGGTAGTCGTTCACCTTAATCACCTGTTTCTAGTAATTTGCTACCTCAATAATCTGACTATCATATATAACATTAATAACTAAAATTTTAATAACTTGTAAGCAGATTTTAATAATAAAACGTCAAACTATATTTATCATTATTAGATTTTAAAAATTAATAATATACTCTTATTAATTTTGACGTCCAATTAATAATAATTTATTTAAAAAATATATATTTCGGCGAAAATTAGCATTTTTTTGTCATTCTTATTTTGATTCATTGTCTTTTATTATGAACCTGAGGAAGAAGCCCC